CAGTTTCATGCGCGGGATGCTGCAAAAGACACAAGCGCAACACGTCATGGAATAAACCATGGAAAAGCAAAAACTACTACTGTATGTTTGATATTTCATATTTGCATGATGGTGACAGGTTGAAAGGCGTTGTTATTTTTGTTTTACATAACATTTAATAGTCTACTGATGTTAAACTTTTAGGCATTTTTCATTGAATTGTTTTGACATTGAGTTGACTAGGGATGCATCGGAATGAAAATTCTGGGCCGAAGCCGAAACCGAACAAAATGAAACACTGGGCAGAATACCGAAAATGGTTTTTCGAGTTTTTTCCCCCAATGTACTTTTGCCAATTTGTGTTCACCATTGCATAAATTAAATAGCACCAAAATGTGCTTTTTACTGTTTTGTCTTGCTTTTCAAAGAGGAAAATAAATTGCAAAACAACAATTAAAAAATATTTAACACTTAACATTTTTACCGTTCTAGCAGACACTATACCAACAAAGCACAATTTAACTTAAAATGAATGAGTTAGTAAAATAATGTTTTTTGGCCATCAGACCCCCTTCTTGAATCAGGCATGTATCTTTTACTGTACAATTAAAAGCAGCTTTGCTGAGAAGAGACAGGTATAGAAAATATTACAGGTCTTAATTTGAACACTATGTGTGAATGTTATTAACAGAGCTGTTGTAATGATTATTATCATTATTATTGTCTTACTTTTTATTTTATTTTACAGAACAACAGTAAAATTACAATACTAACATTTATGAATGTTGATAGAGTTCTTGCTGTTTCTCAACTTTTATTTTGGCGGAAATGTGCAGGAAGACCTCAATGCTTCTTTTTGTTGACAGCAGATTTATAAATGAGTCTCATTACGAATATGTTGTACGTATTGCATTGTCAAATGCCTTGTAAAAATTCATAAAAATGTGACTGAGCAACTGACGAGTAACACTGTTTCAGCGCTGTCAGAATACATGCAATGCGTGCGTGTATTAGAAACCATAACATTCTGCAGTTTATTTACTTATTGTTTAAGCCCATTTCACGATTTCAATCATCGTACACTAACCAGCAACAATCACTCCTTCCTCTTTTCATCGAAGACATGCGCTGCAGTACTAAACAGTCTCTTGCTGTCGGTGATTGTAATGATTTTTGCGTCTTTCTCAGACAGTTTTAAATGCTTCCACACTGCTGACATGTGTGCTGCATTATAAAGAATGCGTGCCTCTCACTCTGCGCTGGTTGCTATTTGATCGCGTCACGTCATTGTTGGGTACAATTTATTCTGTCTTTTCGCTTATTCGGCTTATAATTTCGGTTGCCGAACATTCGGTGCATCCCTAGAGTTGACCTCTAAAACTGAATGTCTTTTTTGGCTAAGAAATATTTAGCATTTTTATTATTCTATGTTATTTCTGAACATATAGAACATGTTGAAGACAAGTTTGTACAATATTTGTCTTCATATCTCATGCTTCATATTTAAAAAGTCGTTTGTTTTATGTTGTAGGGCTGGGTTTTTTGACACAAATTTCACAATTTGATTTAATTAGCCTTCACGAGCTTGCGATTCGATTCAATATCAGTAATTTTGGATATAAATCAGGTACAGGACATGGCAAATTTTCTCAAGGAAAAAAAAAATCTCTCAACTAATGCTGTAAAATATACCTTGAGAGTCAATAAGGTTGAAATTTGCTGGTTTGTATACAAACACTTAAAATATACTCAAAGTTTTTGTAATATTAAAGTTGCAATACTAACTTTAACTTTAAATTACATAATTATATTTCTACTCCAATTCGTTTTTTTAAAATATGAACATTTAAATGGTGGTTGTCAATTAAATTAAATTAATTAAATATCGAAGAACAGTCAAAAAATTCTAATGAATATGTTATATGGTACATATTTAGCAAAATGCTCTTCTCTAGAGTTCATTTTTCTAGCTGACTAAATGAGTTCATGGTCACCGAATATGTTTTTCTGTGGTAAATGTGACGTTACATGACAAGCTATTGTCATCTTCCCGCGTTTGCAACACTGATTTAGTGATTACATGAGACAGGATACAGATTTCGGTAAGTTGTACTCTTTCCTTTAACATACATTCAGATGTTTATTAATGTTTATTTCATGCTGTAACTGCTATTAAAGTGGAGGAGACGATCAGTTCACAGCGATCTGTCACTCCACATTAAACCGTGCCAAAATGGCATTTAACGTTACATGACAAGCTATTGTCATCTTCCCGCGTTTGCAACACTGATTTAGTGATTACATGAGACAGGATACAGATTTCGGTAAGTTGTACTCTTTCCTTTAACATACATTCAGATGTTTATTTCATGCTGTAGCTGCTATTAAAGTGGAGGAGACGATCAGTTCACAGCGATCTGTCACTCCACATTAAACCGTGCCAAAATGGCATTTAATAATAGCTTATTCCAATTTATAGGATGGGAGGCGCGCTACTATGTTCCATTCATTATCTGACTACTATGTTGACCACTTCATATGTGGTGCACTTGAAATAGAACTTTCTTTAAGCAGATGGTTAATAAAGAGAATGTTACTTGAATCATGTTGTAATAACATTAAGTTGACTGACTTAAATGGTAAGAAATCATTCTGAAAAAAATCTAGATTTTATTTTTTGCCACATCGCCCAGCCCTAGCTTTAGCCCTCCTTCTATTGTTATTGCATGGAAAAGAGCGTCCACATTATTCAATGCATCTCCTTTTGCGTGTCATGGAGGACAGTCATATGGGTTTGTAACGTCAAGGTGAATAAATGATGCCAAAATGTTCATTTTTGGATGCACCTTTTAACAATTAGGTCAAAAACTCTGGATGAATCTGTGGTTTTTCTACATCTGTTAATGTGAAGCCAATGTAAGGGTATTATTTAGTGTTTTAAACAGAGGTGTTTAGTGTCACAAACACTCAATTATGACAGAACGGTTGGTTTCGCCAACATATAAAACCACAAAACTGATGTTTGGAGGGGAAGCATTGTCGATTATGAGAGATGATAGGGAGGGACCGGGTTCGTGTGTTGGGAAATAGAAAATGGAAAGAACCTTGATGGGCCACCCCAACTGAGATCATTAGCATTCCTCCTCCAGACACTGTCAGGTCATCCCACTCACACCACCAGCTCTCCAAGACACATCTGTGAAGATCAACAAACTTGCTTTTCGGCGAGAGGATGACTAAAGACTGATTCAGGGCACATTTTGAAGAAGTTTCGCTAGGCTGAAGGCTTCCAGCGCATGTGTGTCACAGCCACGCTAAGGTTGTTGAAGATAATCCTGGAAGGTATAAAGTTGGATGTTTCCTCTAGTGTTTCTTTATGGCTGACAGCCAGCTGGCTGAAGTAGGTAGGCCTTTTTACCATGACAGAATAGGAAACTGGCCTTATCGTCGGACAGTTTGCCAGCCAGATACGCTTGGGGTGATGATCACTCTTCAGATAGCTGAGATTTCCTGTTTAGTCCCCCAAGATTCAAGTGTGAGAGGAAGTGTGGTCCTTTGAGTGCAGTTTCTTTTGATGGTGATGGTACATTGTGTGTCCAAAGATGAGATCCACGACTATTTTAGCATTTGAACTTCTCAAACTGAGCTAATAGAAGAGCCTGATGGTTAACCGTTATTGTTAACAAAAATGAAACTATTAAACATTGATTTTGGTAACTGAAATAAAATAAAAATATAAATATTAGATTATAAACATAAACGAAAATAAGAAATGTTGCCTTGGCAAATGAGATGAGAAGTCAAAGCACTAAAATGACTAAAACTGAAATAAAATAAAGCTAAATATACATTTAAACAAAATGACAAAAGCACATAGAATTTAAATGAAAATTGAAAATTTTAAAAATAAAAGCCAATTCAGAATAGGAATAAATACTATAATAGTATAAATAATATTAAAATAACACTTGTGCAAATCCTTTATTATATTTTTTGCATGCTCAGTCATATTTTTATTCTTCCATATTGCAGTCTATAGAAATGTTCATTTCTTCTATTTTTGTACTTTTAGATTTAGATTGACCTTTTACATCATCTAATCCTCACTTAAGTTAATTTTTAAAAACACAATAAAACAGACTATTGGAGAATGTTTTACAAGAAAATAGTATTTCAGTCTTTCTACTTCAAAATTTTACATTTAATTCCATGTGCTACTTGCATTTTTTATTTGTGAAATTTACTATCAATTGCTCAACTGTTTAAAAGTAAATACAACAACAACAAAATTCACTGTACATTATGATGCATAAAATTCACTTGTAGCATTTAAAACAACTGATTATAGTTTTTTTTTTAGTGTTGCTGTTGCTTCTTTAGCTCAAATTAGGCAAAAAAAAAAAAAAAGGTTTTGTTTTGGTCCAGTACTGCTAAGGCACATAAGCATTGTAGAGAAAAAGGTAAGGCTGTAAATTAGAGCTAAAGCTGCTGTTTAAATCAGTTAACAAAACATTTCAGCTCTACTGTCTTTTGATCATTCTTAAGTTCGCATATGTCTGTTGCTGCTATGCTTGGCTGTATAATTTCTGTTTACGGTTACATTTGAATGGTTTCTGTTTGTTTTCGCCTGCAGGGGAGTGATAAAGACTTTGAGACGGTGTATGAACAGTGTGTGAGATGCTGCAAAGCCTTCCTGGAGCAGCACTCATAACTCACTGTGACCATCTCCTGAAACCCACGACGCCTCATCATGAGATGCTTGACCGTAAATAATAATCGATTGAAATATTGATCAAGTGTCTTCATAAGCAAAACACACAAACCAAACGATAGCAGTGTATAGAGAAGCACTTTGTCTTTAATTGTAAAATAAGTTGTAATGTCATGCGAAGCTTGATTGAGCAGCTGTACAAACTGCTTTTGTTGACCATACCTTCTGAAGAGAGTAAATTCACCTAAATAAACCGGCTGGAAATGCTGAAATTATGTTCGCTTGAAATTCTATTTCCTCCTCACACACC